CAGATTTACAGATTGATTCTTTAACAGCGGTGGACAAAGTACGCAAACCTTCATTATTGAGGCAGAGTAGAGATCCTCCTGGACTGATGAGACTGTTTCTAAGTCAGATTACTTGAGTTAAAGTTCTGGAGGACTCGCTTTAAGAAATACTTAAGAATTCAAACATCTCTAAACACTGTTCTAATTTCACAAAGCATGAGTGCAGTCACATGGGTGTCCGATGCTGATCCTGGCTGTCGATCCAAAGACATTAATTCTTTCAAAGACCGTTATGAGACGTTAAAATCCATCCTGATGTGAGTGTTTGTAACTGTAACTGTTAAAGGGGAGGGGGAAGGATACTCAGTGAAATCACAGAGACAAACCAAATAAGGATTTATTTTACATATTTAAAATACATTTAAAATCATTGTTGTTAGACTAGCAGTTCAACGCTGCTCGCTGCCTTCAATGCAACATATTGCACAGCCTGACTTCATATTTTCTCTCGTCTTAAAAAGTGCAAAAGGGAGTTTTTTTAAACAGGAATGTTCTAGAAAATTAACTTTGTACAGTGAAGTGCTGATAGGAACAAAAAAACAACACGAGGGAGGGAAAAAATCCAACGCTGTCCGAGAAACAAAATCATAATTAACAAGGCAGAAAAAACAACAACAACAGGAAGTGGAATAAACAGAAACCTCGATATCCAGACGTCAGCACAAGTTTTTTGTAAATCTTCTTTTGTGTTTCTTTTAGGTTAAAGGGACCTCGGGCGTCACCATGAGCAGAGCCAGGACCTCCTCGCTACTTTTCTTGTTGATGGTCATCTCGACCGTTCTCCCGTCTTTTGCCGCTGGAGGATCGACTCTCAACTCCAACAACTCCACCAGCAACAAAACCAAATGTGGAGGAGGTACGGACTGCGTCCCGGGTGTTATCCTCCCCGTGTGGAAGCCGGAGAACCCGGCCTTCCCAGACCGCCTCGCCAGAGCCACCATCTACTTCGTGGGGTTGGCGTACATGTTCTTGGGTGTGTCCATCATCGCCGACCGCTTCATGGCGTCCATCGAGGTCATCACGTCCCAGGAGAGAAAGATCACCATCAAGAAACCAAACGGGGAGAAGATCACCACCACGGTGCGAGTCTGGAACGAGACCGTGTCCAACCTGACCTTGATGGCGCTCGGTTCCTCCGCTCCAGAGATCCTCCTGTCGGTCGTGGAGGTTTGCGGTCACAACTTTGACGCCGGCGAGCTCGGCCCGAACACCATCGTGGGAAGCGCCGCCTTCAACATGTTCGTGATCATCGGCCTCTGCGTGTCTGTGATTCCTGACGGAGAAACCAGGAAGGTGAAGCACCTCCGGGTGTTCTTCGTCACCGCCACCTGGAGCGTCTTCGCCTACACCTGGCTCTACCTGATCCTGGCGGTCATCTCTCCGGGCGTGGTGGAGATATGGGAGGGGCTTCTCACACTCTTCTTCTTCCCCATCTGTGTCGGATTCGCCTACGTGGCCGACCGTCGGCTTCTTTTCTACAAGTACATGCACAAACGATACAGAGCGGGGAAACGCAAAGGAGTGATCATCGAGACGGAGGGAGAGCCGGAGCTTCCATCGAAGGTCGACATCGAAATGGACGGGAAGATGCTCAACTTGCACTCGGAGGAGATGGCGTCTGAGGTGGATGAGGAGGAGGCGGCCCGCAGAGACGTGTCCCGGATCCTGAAGGAGCTGAAACAGAAACATCCAGAGAAGGAGACAGAGCAGCTGATGGAGCTCGCCAACTACCAGGTGTTAACCACGCAGCAAAAGAGTCGAGCATTCTACCGCTGTCAGGCGACCCGGATCATGACGGGCGCCGGAAACGTCCTGAAGAAGCACGCGGCCGAACAAGCGAAGAGAGCCAATCAGCACGAGGTCTGCTCCGAGGTCTCAGCGAGCGACTTCTCCTCGAAGGTCTTCTTTGACCCCGGAGCCTACCAGTGTCTGGAGAACTGCGGCAGTGTGGCGCTGAACATCGCACGCCGTGGCGGAGACCTGGCAAACGTGGTCTCGGTGGATTACCGGACTGAAGATGGCACGGCGAACGCCGGCTCGGACTACCAGTTCACGGAGGGAACGATCGTCTTCAAACCGGGCGAGACCGAAAAAGAAATCCGCATCGACATAATCGACGACGACATCTTCGAGGAAGACGAACACTTCCTGGTTCACCTCAGCAATGTGAGGGTCGTCTCAGAGGACGCCGAGGCAGACGACCACGAGGCGGCGAACCACGTGGACACCCTCGCAGGTTTAGGTCTGCCGTGCACGGCCACCGTCACCATCTTCGATGACGACCACGCTGGGATCTTTACGTTCGAGGAGCCGCTGGTGACGGTGAGCGAGAGCGTGGGGATGATGGAGGTGAAGGTGGTCCGGACGTCGGGGGCTCGTGGGGTTGTGGTGCTGCCGTACAAAACCGTGCAGGGGACGGCGAAAGGAGGCGGCGAGGACTTTGAGGACACACACGGAGTCCTGGAGTTTGAGAACGACGAGATCTTGTGAGTACAAATCCACTTAATGAAAGTCTGTGAGAGACGTCCCTGAATCAACTTCAGAAGATAAATGTGATTATTAAAACGTGTGACGAGAGAAGGCTCCTCATGAGGAACCAAGACCAAGACCAGGGCAGGGCGAGACAAGACCAAGACCAAGACCAGGGCAGGGTGAGACAAGACCAAGACCAAGACCAAGACCAGGGCAGGGCGAGACAAGACCAAGACCAAGACCAGGGCAGGGTGAGACAAGACCAAGACCAAGACCAAGACCAAGACCAGGGCAGGGCGAGACAAGACCAAGACCAAGACCAGGACAGGGTGAGACAAGACCAAGACCAAGACCAAGACCAGGGCAGGGCAAGGCAAGACAAGACCAAGACCAAGACCAAGACCAGGGCAGGGCGAGACAAGACCAAGACCAAGACCAGGGCAGGGTGAGACAAGACCAAGACCAAGACCAAGACCAGGGCAGGGCGAGACAAGACCAAGACCAAGACCAGGGCAGGGCGAGACAAGACCAAGACCAAGACCAAGACCAAGACCAAGACCAAGACCAGGGCAGGGCAAGACAAGACCAAGACCAAGACCAGGGCAGGGTGAGACAAGACCAAGACCAAGACCAGGGCAGGGTGAGACAAGACCAAGACCAAGACCAGGGCAGGGCAAGACAAGACCAAGACCAAGACCAGGGCAGGGTGAGACAAGACCAAGACCAGGGCAGGGTGAGACAAGACCAAGACCAAGACCAGGGCAGGGTGAGACAAGACCAAGACCAAGACCAAGACCAAGACCAAGACCAAGACCACGACCACGACCACGACCAAGACCACCACCACAACCAAGACCAAGACCAAGACCAAGACCAAGACCAGGGCAGGGCGAGACAAGACCACGACCAAGACCAAGACCAGGGCAGGGCGAGACAAGACCAAGACCAAGACCAAGACTAAGACTAAGACCAAGACCAAGACCACGACCAAGACCAAGACCAAGACCACGACCACGACCACGACCAAGACCACCACCGCCACCACCACCACCACGACCACGACCAAGACCAACACCAACACCAACACCAACACCAACACCAACACCAACACCAAGACCACGACCACGACCAACACCAACACCAACACCAACACCAACACCAAGACCAAGACCAAGACCAACACCAACACCAAGACCAAGACCAAGACCAAGACCACGACCACGACCACGACCACGACCAAGACCAAGACCAAGACCAGGGCAGGGCGAGACAAGACCAAGACTAAGACCAAGACCAAGACCAAGACCAAGACCAAGACCACGACCACGACCACGACCAAGACCAAGACCAAGACCAGGGCAGGGCGAGACAAGACCAAGACTAAGACCAAGACCAAGACCAAGACCAAGACCACGACCACGACCACGACCAAGACCACGACCACGACCACGACCACGACCACGACCAAGGCAGCCTGCCAGTAAAGACATATTGATCATATCTAATATAGAGTTGCTAACTAAGGGAAAGACTTCCTTAAACAGCTTGGTTGGGATTGGGTCCAAAAGACAGGTTGACGGTTTCGACACAGAAATAATTGAATTTAGCTCTGAAAGGTCGATTGGAGAAAAACAGTCTAGACTAATATCTGGTCCTGGAACTGTCTCTGCCGTATCAGATGTATCCGCACCAGGTAAGGACAGGAGGTTACTAATTTTGTCTCTGATGTCTAGAATTTTGTTGTTGAAAAAGCTCAGGAAATCATTACTGCTGAGGGCTAAAGGAATACAAGACTCAATGGAGCTATGACTCTCTGTCAGCCTGGCTCCAGTGCTGAAAAGGTATCTAGGATTGCTTTTGTTTTCCTCGATTAGAGAGGAGTAGTAGGCAGCTGGAGTGTGATGTAGAGCCTTCATGTAGTCCTCTCTGTTATCAGGCTCTTCTCTGTCGCGTGGCCGTGTGTCAGATAAACAGCACGCCGCTCTCTTCCTTATTAGGGCACTTTGTGTCCAGCAGCAGATCCTGCTCATCGTCATGTCTCGTAAAGACGACAGAGGCTGCAGCAGGCTCCTCTCACAGAGACCACATGGGGGGGTCTCTGCTGGCTCTCTCTCAGCTTCTGTTTCCTTCACACACAACCAGCTCTATTTAAAGAGTTTAATCTATTCTTTATACTGACAGTAAATCAGACGAGACAGGGGGGGCGGACTCGGAGCGCTCTGCAGGACGTCCCGAGTCGGGCTGGAAGATTCTTCTCTTCTGACATTTTAAATCGATTCATAACTTACAAAAATATTTTTTTTCTTGGCTAATCAGTCCCTCCATGCTAATGCTAATGCTAGCTCTTTAACTCTCAGCCTCCCAGAGGACTGGACTAGATCCTGGAGGACTCGTTCACAAAGAGACTTCATGAATCCAGAACAGATTCTGAATCTAATCATGAGACACCCAAAGATTCCCAGCTCTAATCCCAAGAAACTATTTTTACA